TGACCAAGTTACATCAGTATCCTCCCCTTCTTCATCTCCAATAACATCAGTTATTAACATAAAGCTGTCCATGCTTCTTCGCTTGAACTCCTTGAGCAGGTTGACATGATAAACCTTCAACTTTCTCCCTTTGTGGTTAGTTTCTATCTCATAGTCTACTGGTCCCACCCTTCTCACTACCTTAAATGGACCTTGCCACTTGGCCTGGAGAGCATTAGAACTACTTGGTAACAATAGTAGCACTTCTTGGCCAGGGGTGAACTCTCTAACTCTGGACTTTGTGTCATACCATTTCTTTTGTCGCTGCTGCGCTTCTTTCATGTTTTCTCTCATTAGATCTGTCATAGATGATAATCTTTCTCTCATGGTAACAATATGAGTTACAACACTTTTAGGTCCAGACACTGTTCCTGTCCATGTCTCTTTCATAACATCTAAGGGTCCTCTAACTTTTCTTCCATAAAGTAGCTCGAATGGGGAAAATCCAGTCGATTCTTGTGGAACTTCTCGGTATGCGAATAGCAGATACGGTATCAGCTGGTCCCAATTTAGTGGGTCACTGGCTACAAACTTCCTTATCATAGCTTTAAGGGTCCCATTTAGTCGTTCCACCATACCGTCTGTCTGAGGGTGATATGGGGCTGTTGTTATACCTTTGATTTGAAGTAGCCTGTAAATTTCTTTCAACAGCTTGGATGTAAAGTTAGAACCTTGGTCAGTTAGTATTTCTTGTGGTATGCCAACTTTAGAGAAAAGCTTAATAAGCTCATCTGCAATCTTCTTTGCTTCTATACTTCTTAGTGGTATCGCTTCCGGATATCTAGTGGCGTAGTCACAGATTACTAAAATGTACTTGTTTCCAGCTTTGCTTCGGTCCAATGGGCCAACTATATCCATAGCGATCCTGGTGAATGGCTCGTCTATCACTGGCATTGACTGCATTGGTGCTCTGAACTTTGTTCCATGCTTGGATGTTTTCTGACACGCTTCACAGCTCTTGCAATAGGTTTTTACATCTTTTGTCATGTTTGGCCAGAAAAATCGTTGTCTTATTCGCGCCAGAGTCTTCTTTATGCCCATGTGTCCAGCCAATGGTATGTCATGTGCAATTTTTAACACGTTTTGCCGACACTGTCTTGGAAGAATTAACTGCTCTATTGGCTCTGGGAGTTCTTTACTTGACACTTGTCTATACATGATGCCTTCTTTGTATATAATCTGTATCTCGTCGTCCTTGCTCTGTTTGGCTGCTTGTATTCGCAGGCTATTCAAAGTGGAATCTGCTATTTGTAGGTCTTTAATGGTTTTAGGATCCACATCAGGTGACTCCGACTTATCCAATGACTCAGTTTTCATCTGTGAGTATTGTTTTCTCTGCTGTCTTTTCTGACTTCTTGATTTCTTCGTCCTTACTTTGTTGGGTCCATCCATGAAACTTCCTATGTCCATTTGACCGAATTCTTTGGAAATGTCAGGTAGTACGATGTCGTCTAAATTTCTCGATTGTACTTTGCAGCTCTTCTCTTCTTTTCTTTCTTCCTCTTTTTGTCTCTTGTCACGCCTTGCTTGTGCTCTCGTTACTACTAGGCCATCTTCTACGTCTGGTCGTACTTTGCTTAGGAGGTCGTAGAACTGTGGGAAGTCTTTACCCAGCAAAGCATGTCTCGGTAGATCCTTGCTGACTCCTACCACTACTTCAGATGGCTCACCATTGATCTCTACTAACACATTAGCCGTGGGGTAATCCGAATGGTGGTCATGAATGCATCTGATGTGCGTCCGCTCTTGATGATTTATCTTCTTTGGGTCAACCAGGTCCCAGTGAACTAGTGTCATGTCACACCCTGAATCAAGAACCATCTCAACGTTTTGTCCGTCGATTCGTCCAGGTATAACAAAATCTGTATATGGGCATTTATTGCTTCGTCTTGAGAGATAACTTGTCCTCTTGCGACAAAATTTCTCTATATGACCCTCTTTGTTGCAATTTCTGCATCTTATTTTGGGTTTGTCATTACTTCTCCAGGGTTGTGGACTGTTAACCTTCTCAGCTTGATTAGCCGGTGTCCCTTCTTTCTCGTTGTCCTTAGGACTTGTTGGTAACCTTTCTTGGGTTGTATGTGGTCTTTTCGGTGGTTCGTTTTGAATCCCTTTACGTGCATCAAAGTAGTCGTCCGCCAACTCTGCTGCAGCTACTCCTGTGCTTGGACGGTGTTCTCGTACCCATATCTGTACTCCTGGGGGCATTGTGTCTACCAGTTGTTCCATGATCACRGTCTCTGTAATCTCATCTACTGTCTTCCCATCTGGTTTGGTCCATTTTCTGAACAAGTCTTTCAGTCGTACATACATTTCTTTATAGCTTTCATCTCTAAATTTCTTTGTTGACCTGAATCTTTGCCTGTACGTCTCCTCTGTTATGTCATATCGCTTYAATATGGCTTCTTTAACTTTGTCGTAATCATTACTCTCGGTGATTGACATGGCAGCATAAGCAGCTTGGGCTTTACCGGTTAGGTAGGGTACCAACTTCACCACCCATTTCTCCTTTGGCCAATCAAACGTTTTGGCTGTTCGCTCAAACGTTGTGAGATAGTTTTCAATATCGTCTGTTGGGTTTAACTTCGTCATATTTACTTCTCTTAGCTTCATCATACTCTCAAGTTGGTGTAATTCCTCTTTCCTTTGTCGCTCCACTTGGTCTGACTGTTTCTTCATTTCTTGTCGTTCTCTTTCCCGTTCTTTCTCCAGTCTTTCTTGCCTTTCAATCTCTAACCTTCTGTCCCTTTCATACCTTTCTCTTTCTTCCCGTTTTTCCTGTTCGTATCTTCTCTTCTCTTGTTCGTATCTTTCTTTTTCTTCCCTTCTTTCCTGTTCGTATCTTCTCTTCTCTTGTTCGTATCTTTCTTTTTCTTCCCTTCTTTCCTGTTCATATCTTTCTTTTTC